AATACCTGATGAGCATCCTTCAAAGTTGAAGATTATAAACAAGAAAACCCCAGCATGCATGGTGGCACAGGCCTTTTTCAGTCTCAGCACTGGGGAGGCAGAGGAAGGTGGACCTGCCTCTGGTCTGCAGAGGAAATAATACATTCCAGATTAGCCAAGGCTACATAGTAAGACTGTGTCTCAAAAACAAAAACAAAATCAAACAACAAAAATCCAAGAGTCTGTCACAGCCAGAAAGAGGCTAAAGGGACATAACTAGATATAATATGATATCATGGTTGGTATCCTATGACACAAGAAGGATGTAAAGACTGAGGACATCTGAACACAGGATAAAATTTAGATATATTTTGAAACTAGTTTCCTAATGATAATCACTAGTTTCCTAGTGATAAACGCGTCGTGGTAGTGTACAGTCTTAGTCAGAGTGGAGACTGGGTTAGGGTGTCAAATATCAACAGAATGTTCTACAAGACACCTGACTCTGCAAGTTTTCTATAACTGAAAACTGTTCTGAGAAGTAAAACTCACTAAAAGCCTCAAGAAGAAATCGACGAGCATGCAAAGGGGAAACTTAATATTCAGATCGGGAAAGATTTTTTTTAAATTTAGGTTCTTTTTCTTAACTTTGTGAAATTTTTGACACAATCATGTGAAAATTTTCTCTTTGCCTCCCTCCCTACTGCTGTGGCCTAAAAGGACACAGGTGTTCTAAACTTGTATCATACCATGATTTCTTCTCTCATTCAAAAGTACTCACTTTTGATTTTTTTAAATTTTGTTTTGGTTTTGAGACTAGGGTCACACTACGTAGCTTTGGCTGACTCAGAACTCGCTATGTAGACTATGCCTCAACTCATATTCACTTGCTATGCCTTTTTAAAGGCGTGACTCCCATGCAAATATTCATTTTTATATTCAGCTTTATTTTTTTTTGCAATTTTCTCTTAAAGGGGCCTCTGGAATTGTATACGCTTCTGGTTCTCAAAACCCCCACACAACATTGATTGGCACTGATCCCATATGAATAGCTGGAAAAAAGCCCATCTAAGCAACTGACCACCACCAAGTACAAATACTATGCCATGTCTTATAGAGGCATGAGAAGGTTTGGGACAGGTTCTGAGGATTTATGGTTATGCTGAATAGTTTTATGTCAACTTGATGCAAGCTGGAGTTATACAAAAGGAGGGAACATCAGTTGAGAAAAAAATTCTTCCACAAGATCCAGCTGTTTTTTAATTAGTGATTGATGGGCTAGGGCCCAGCCCATTGTGGGTGGTGTCATGCCTGGGCTGTTGATCCGTATATGACACAGTATAGCAGTGGATGATCATAGTGAAACTTTAGACATGAGGCCCCTGTCAATCAGCCAATCATCAGCCTTCTTCCCCAGAGAACTTCATCTCTGCTTAGCTTCTCTAGAAGACTGATTCAGTTAGTTTCAGACAGAGATTTGAATAGAGCTGGGATTAGCCACATTTAAAAAATCAGGTCAAATGTAACAGAGGCTTAGCAACAGGAAAGAGTCTCCAGCTTCCACAGAGAAATCTCCCAATTGACTCCTCTATGTTTGGCTCTACAAAGTGGTCTGAATGGGAAGGCCCCCAGGGGCTCATAGTTTTTAAATGGGAAGTCTTTAGGGAATGGAGCTATTTGACCAGGATTAAGAGGTGTGGCCTTGTTAGAGTAAGTATGGCCTTGTTGGAGGAAGTGTGTCACTGGGGTTGAGCTTTAGGGTTTCAAATGCTCAAGCCAGGCCCAGTGTTTCTCTCTCTTCCTGCTGCCTACTGCTCTGGACATAGAACTCTCAGCTACCTCTCCAGCACCATGTCTGCCTGGATGCCTCTATGTTTCCTGACATGACGACAATGGACTAAACCTCTGAACCCATAACCCTGCCCCAGTTAAAAAGATTTCCTTTATAACAGTTGCCATGGTGATGGTGTCTCTTCACAGCAATAGAACACTGACTAAGACACAGGGCTTTGATCCAAAATGAGAAATCCAATTTGGGGACAAATGTCTTACTGTGGGAAGGGATGAGGAGAGAGACACCCCCCACCCCCCCCGTCAACTGCCAACTCGTAATCCTATGTGCCCCCTTCATATGTTGGAGAATCTCAGAATGTGGCCCCTATTTTTAAAATGGCACCTTAATGGAAACTATTAAGTTAAAAATTAGGCCTGAGGTTGGGCACTAATGCAGGCAGTATGACTCGTATCCCTTAGAGATGTAGACCACACACTGGAAAAGACAGATAGGGGAGGATGGCATAGAAAGGCAAAGGGCTAAGTCAGATGTTTGTAAACCCAAGAGAGAGAGACTCAGAGGAGGTCTTTTCTTTGCAGACCTCAGGAACAAATCTTGACACCTGTTTTAAGTCACCACAACCGTGGGACTACATATTTCTCTTATTGAAATCAATTTCTGGTTATGTGGTTTCATAGCTCTGGAAAAGGATCGTACTACAGAACCTAGAAAATGCCTAAGGCAGCCCTAGGCTGAAGATTAGATAAGGAATGGGCTTAGCTTCCAGCGACATTTCTAAGTGCACAGAGATATACGGGACCCACTATGGTACCTTCATCCGGAAAATTCTGAAGCATGCCAAACACGTGCTCGTTCTGTGGCAAGAGCAAGATGAAGAGATAAGCCATTGGCATCTGGCATCGTGGCTCCTGCATGTAAACAGTGGCTGGCAGGGAGCCTGGATCTACAATACCACTTCTGCTGTCAGTCAGGTCTGCCTTCTGAAGACTGAAGGGACTAACTCAAAGACCAGTAGAAGCGGTCCCGTTTGAGACTTATCTAGCCTGCAATAAATGTATTATGTTTAAAAAAAGAAGAAGAAAAATGAGTGATATTGCAGGTGAAGAGAGAGACTCAAAGAAGCCAAGATGTAGTCAACTGAAAATGAATGGAGTCTATTTCTTTCTCCTTATGGACAGGAAAGTGTAGACCTGGAAGATATGAATCTGAAGGGCCTAGAAGATCCAGTTGCTCTAGAACAGTGGTTCTCAACCTTCATAATGCTGCAACCCTTTCATACAGTTCCTCATGTTGTGGTGACCCCAAACCATAAATTATTTTTATCGCTGTGTCAAAACTGCAATTTTGCTACTTTTACGAATCGTAAATATCTGTTTTCTGATGGTCTTAGGTGACCCCTGTGAAAGGGTTGTTCAATCCCCACCTCCCCTCAAAGTGGTCATGACCTACAGGTTAAGAAGCGTTGTTATGGAATCTGTTGGTGTGAGGGTTGCCTCACCAGCATTGGACAAGGAGCCTTGGACTCCACAGGAGGAAGGCCATAGACACCCGGAAAAAGTACTTATTACTTGCTGAGTCAGCTTGAGTATACTTGCGACTAGAGGGAATGAATCATCTCCCAAGAGTGTAGGCCTCTGTGGTTGTAAAGTCCATGGTCTAGAAGCAGATGGTCTTGAGTTCCAAGAACAGGCTTGCTCTTTCTTACACCTGACTCTGTCCTTCAGTTTCCTGTTCTACAAAAGAGGTCCAGTGGCGGTACCACCTCTCAGGGTTATGAGCATTATAGTTTATCAATAGCGTCACCTAGTAGTAAATGATTATATTAGAGGTGTTCTGGCAATAATTGTCGCTCAAACTTAAGGCAATATTAGAAAACCTTCACCTAATGCTGGGAGCAAACCCTACTGTGCCCTGATGACCGGCCTCAATTAATCACAAAGTAACAAGCAGCTGGTGAACCTGGGAACAATTATGTTGACCTTTTTTTCATTCAAAATGTTAGCATGGTCTACGTCTCAACTTAGCCACACTGACCAGTTCTGGGTACTGAGTAACAGTGACCATTCTAGTGTTTGAGCTTTTAAAAGGTTATCGTAAGGCTTTGGAGTATATTTATGATTTTTTTTTATAATGTTTGGAGGAGGGCACATGTGCACATGGTGCACATGTAGAAACGGCACTCACAGTCCTGAGGATTGAGGATTGCGTGTCAGGCTTTGTGACATGCATGTGCCTTTTACCCAATGAGCCATCTTACTGGCCTTGCATTGGCCTTTGGAAGCCCCTAAAAGGTCTCAAGGGATCTGTCAAGTCAGCAGAGCCAGGCTGAGCAGAGTAGACAAGCCTTTAAACTTGGCAGGTGGACATTGTCCTTGAGCAACGTTTAGTCTGCTTTTCACTTCTAACCACACCGGGGCCTGGGTTGTCCAGAGATGTCTCATGGCCAGGACATTGCGGAAGTCCAGTATTCCTAGCCAAGGACTGTGGCGAAACTTGGTGTGGGGACCGTGGTGAAACTAGATTAAAGGGGTTCGTGTGTATCTGTGCTAAAGAAAGTCTTCAGCTACCATGGTCCCTCCGAGCACAGAGGCAAGCAGAGAAGCCATGTCAAGAAGTCAGCTGGAAAGAATGTTAAGGATGGAAGAGCTAAAGGGCACCTGCAACATTCCAAAGCATCACATTATCACGGTTCAGATTATCAGACTTTCAGATTTACCCTTTGCCCTACCTCAGATTCGTTGTGAAACTTAGAGGGCAAGTTTGGGTGACCTTAGTGGCTTTTGCTTTCTGACAGCCATACTCTTGGACTTGAGGAAGGCCACGCCTACCTTGCGGCTTTAGAGGGAGAGGCGGAGTCAGCAGGACTGGGCGGGACCCGAAGGAGGACTGGGCCTTGGGGGCGGGGCGAACGACCAAGGAGGTGTGGCCTGAGGGGGAAGGACTGGAGCTGATGGGCGTGGCCTGAGAGGAGCGGCGGGTCTGAGGGACTGGATCAGACCAGATAGGGGGGGGTTTGAGAGGCGGGAATGGCGCCGATGGGGCGGGACCTGAGAGGAGCGGTGGGTGTGATGGGGCGGGACAGGCTCGACCTGTGCGACAGGAGGGGCGGAGCTGGCGAGGGGGAGTGGGCGCTCTAAGAGATGGAGAGGGGAGGAGCCTGCGGACGGGGCGGGGCGGGGCGGCGCGGCACGGCACGCGCACTACCAGCGGCCCGGCCCTGCTGCTGCAACGCCGGTGGCGTAGCCAAGAGAGCAGCTGTGGCTGCGACTCCTTAAATAGCATCGCAACCCGGCGCGGGGCAGTTCGCGGATTGCAGTGACAGCCGCCTGTGGAGCAGCCCGGGCAGCGGAGGAGGTGAGTGCGCCAGCCGCGAAGGGCCGCGTGTCGGCCAAGGCGACCCTAGTCGGGCCGAGACCGGCCCCGCGGCTCTGCGGGACGTTCCGCTTTTCCGGCCTGGGCTCCACGGCCTCGTTTCCCTCGGCTTCGGGAGGCTCCGGGGCCGCTCCGGCGGCCGCCGCTTCCGGTGCCGGAGCCGGGGTTCTCCCGCGGGCCGTGCGCGCGCGGGGCTGGTGCACCGAGGAGTCAGGAGGTTCCTCGCTGCACCGGTCCCTGGCTGGTGTGGTGGCTGGGTCCTTCCCTGCCCGGCTCAGGTGCCGAGAGGTGGTCCTGCTTGCTGGGGACCCTGGCGTCTCCGCCACCACATCCCTCGTGCCCCAGAGACGGGGATTATGGGGCGCGCACTCACCGCGCGTGGACACGGACTGTCCCGGTGCCGCTCTGTGACGTGCCCCTGCGCCGAGCGTTCGAGGAGGGTCAGAGGCAGCGCTCAGAGCCCGATGTCATAAGTAGAAATTCTCGCGGTGTCTCCAAGAGGAGCTCCCAGAGCCACTACACACAGTGGTGATGGAGTCATTGATTTAAGGCAATCTGGCTTTTAATTTTTTTTTAAATTAGGGAGCAAAAATGATATTTATCACCTTGAAGCGTAGACCCCGAATGTTGATACAGGACTTAAAAGAACACATGGATTAGAATCTAGAGAATGAAGCTCCATCTAATCAGTGCATTATGCCCGAGCTTACAGACCATCTTTCCACTCCACCCAAGCTCATGGCTATGGAGCCTAGTTAAGAATGGCCATTATGAAAATGCTTCAGCTCGGAACTGTGAGTATCCATCTGTAGTCTTCCCTTTAAGGACTTGACATTTGATTATGTTTCCGGTATACACGTTTCAAAACGCAATTTGTGGTTATCCCAATGAAAATTATTTAGCATAACTCAGAAATCATCCAAACCCTTCTAGTTCACCAAAGTTAAGAAATGCTGGTCTGCCATAGGCCAGGTTAAGAATGTGGAGCAGCTAAAAGGAACCATCAGTTTGGAGCAATATGATGAGGTGTGATAAGAACAGAAAACAGACAGGGTCAGATCCTAGGTAGATGTTCTTTCTTGTAGTTCAACTGAAGAAAATCCCTTTCTGATGGGATGCTGGTTCTGCGTTGAGATCTTGAGCTAAAATTGTATGACTTGAGAAGGAAAAAAAAGCAACAAACCTTATTCACTCACCTCTTATAAATTTACGGTAAACAGACAAACTTGAAACAAAAATTAAAAAAAAAAACCCTCCCCATCCATGATTCTAAGCATTTTGACATATTTCCTTCCTGTCTCTGTTATTTATATTTTATCAGTGTTTTATTATTATTACAGCCTAACTGAAATCACTAGGCCTTGGAAGTTTTGACATTTAACACGTAGCATCTGACAAATGCAGGTAGGGATAGGGTATTTATCTATACCGTACAGGTACTTTTCAGCTACTCCGTTCCGGAGTTATGTGTGGAGTCACCAGATGCAAGCCAACATGTCACGGTGTTGTGAATTAATGTCTTCAGCACGTCTTTAGTTTGGATGTGGCTATCTAGAGCTGTGGGACCCTGTGTTTGGAGTACGGGCCCTGGGAAAGATCAGGTGGTTTTAGTTATTTACCAGTAGAGATTTTGTCTTCCCCCCCTGAGGCTTTGTTGTTATTGTTCTTTGATTGTGATATGCCTACTGTAACTTTTAGATCTTTATCCTCAATCTTTTTTTAAAGTCATTTAGTTTTGTAAGCTCAGTTTCATTTGATGGCTAAGCTTGCCATTCATTGCTCTTTTGCGTGTACTGTCTCTTATGACTAAATTCAGTTTGAGTCACACCGTTAGAAATGTTTTATGGACAGGCTTGTTTACATGATGCAGTGTGCACAGCTTTCTTGAAGCAAAATGGGAAGAACTCGCTTTAATGCAGCTCCCAGCTCTGAGTTCCTTGAACCCTCTTTAAGCCTGACTGTTCCGCCCAGATAGCTTAAGGTGCCTGAGTCCTTCGTGAAGGTCTTCAGTCCAAATTAGTGGTTAGACATGCACTTGAGGGTCATGATGTACCTTTGGCATTGGTGCCTGGAGGATGGTTCTCAGTGCACAGAGGTGTTCTGAACCTGCTGTGCTTGAGTTTAGGTTTCATCATCCTGGTACTCTGAGGGGCTTCTGAGAGCTTGAAAGAAATGCAAGGCCTAAAATAGTAGCTGAGCTTGAAGAGCGAGAAAGTAAAGGTGGTTTGATCAGTGTCTGTGAAGGTACACTGAGATTCTCCTCTTCACAAAACGCTGAATGTCAAGTCCTGAGGAATTTTAGTGTGTGAAATCCCAGGGTGATCGGCAATATGGCCAAGGGAAAGAAAATTACCACATGAATGTTAGTTTTTCTACTTTGTCTCGCCTGATGTTTATAATTTCCTAACTGTTGCAGGCAGTCATATTTGTCAGTTGTGAACTTTAAGGAGTCAAAGTGAGGGGAGCTAGAGATTACAATAGGGTGGTCCTTTTCTTGTTTCTTGACTGGTTTGGAGGAGTAACACTTTAACCTGGAGGTTTGTGAAGCCTGTTCTCCCTTAGGATAGTAGGGGCCTGCCAGAGAACAGTATATGTCCATATCTTGACTCTGAGATTTCAAAACCAGTGGCTTAATGCACATAGGAGCCTGGATTAGTTCTTTTTATGAATTATTTGCTAGTCCTCAAGTTTTAAGTAAAAAATATAAGAGCTGTCTAAATATCTAAATTAAAGTATAGTTTTACTTATTCATATTATAAAAGTAGTAAATACTTGTTATTAAAAACCAGGACATGTGAAAATGAAACGTCTTCAGGAAGTTACATTTGGGTTTATTTTCTCCCAGTTGTTTTATTAGCAAATTGAAAAATAATTTTGAGGCATTGGCATTTGAAGTTGAACATTTTAACAATTCACTTTTTCAAATTAACCTTTATTTTTATTTTTATTTTATGTGTCTGGATAATTCTACCTCCATATATATCTGTATACCACGTGTATGCAGTGCCTGCAGAGTCTAGAAGAGGGCTTTGGATCCTTTGGGGCTGGAATTACTGATGGCTGGGGGCTGCCTTGTGGATCCTGGGAATTGAACTCAGGTTCTCTGGAAGAGCAATGGATGCTCTTACCTGCTGAGCCATCTCTCCAGACTTGACGATTCATTTTGAATCACCTCAGTTATGTAGTGATCTCCTCAGATTTGTCAGCATATTTTGAAGAAGACTGCTTTTAATCTATTCATTACTGTCTTTTTGTTGTTTATTTCAGAACAGTTTACCAAACTCTCTTCTCTAATTAAAACAAACATGCTTAAAATTAAGCATGTCCTTTAAAAACAAAAACTCTCATGATTTTGTAAGTTACTTGAAAAGTACTCAGTCAGTTTTAATGGACTTTTGGGTTCGTGTATTTTAGTGAAAAGCTGTTTCATGGTTTGGAGAGATAAATGGAAAGAAGTTAGGGCATCCGAAAAGTGTGGTTTGCCTTCTAGAACATTTATTTCCATGTTTTGGGTGCGACTTCTGATAAATATATTATCTACCCATTTGCAGGGTTTTGGCTGCTGTAGAAATTGGCACTCTGCTCTCGGGTTTGTTGTAGGCATGGGGTGAGAACACCATTGATTAAGCAGAATTAAAAGGAAGCTGCAGCAGGATTATATTGTTACACTGTCCCTCCCTCCTCTCACGGATGTAGGAAAGATTATGTTCCGGGTGCTTCCCGTGGTCCCCCGGGAGCCCTGTGAGGCAGATGCTACTTTTAGATTATGACAGTAAGTCTCAACCTTCTTGAAGCTGGGGCCCTTTAATACAGTTCCTCATGTTGGTGACACCCCCAACCATAAATGTATTTGCAATGCTACTTTGTAACTGTAATTTTGCTACTGTTATGAATCATAACGTAAACATCTGTGTTTTCTGTGGTCTTAGGTGACTGACCCCTGTGAAAAGGTCAGTGGACCCTTGAGGGGGGTCCTGACCCACAGGTTGAGAACCACTTCTTTGTGAGATTTGGAGATTAAGTCACCCAAGGCAGGAGTTGAGTCTAGGCTGCCCGGCTTTGGGGCCTCTGCTTTTTCAAGTGCTTCCTCTTATGTAGCTCTGGAGCCGGGTTTCTCAGGCCTGGAAAGTTCCTTGACTTTTCTTTGTCTCATTTATACTCAGCTGTGAATTTTCTCTTCATCACACCTGAGTTCCGAGAGCAGAGAGTTTGACTAATTCAGTTCAGTGTGAGAACTAAAAAGTAAAAGGCCTCATCAGCCTTCGAAGTCGGTCTTGGAAGCCTGGAGCACAGTTGGGGTGAATGACCAGTGTGTATCAAGTGTTGAGGAGCCCACGGGCGGGAGCAGGGCCCTAACTTAGTGCAGACTGTGGAGCCAAAGCACGTTAGTTGGAGATGCACCTCACTGTGATACATGGATTCACTCTCTGCTTGGATTTGGGAAGAATTTTACCTCCTTCCTGGTGTGGTCTAGTGACACTGTTGAGAACATTCAGTGGACAAGAGGACGGACTCCTCTGTCTTCAGAGTTTGCAGGCCCTGTGGTCTTGCCCAGTGATTCTGACTGAACTAGAAGCCATGGGCTAAATGGAACAGGGCTGCTGTGGGTGAAGTAAGGTGGATTGAGCGTGGGTGGGATCTACAGACAGTTACTTCTATCTCTTGGCACCTCAGAGTCCCGTCAGACAAACCTGGACCTCTGAAATAGCCTAGCTCCCTCATCTCACTGATGTAGTAGCTGTGGTACAGGGAGAGAGAAGGCTAGTCTCGCTTACAAACCTGCCTTCCCCTCTGGCCATCACACACACACAGACACACACAGACACACACAGACACACACACACACACACACACACACACACACACACGGAATTGGTTCCTGGGCCCTGTGCCTGTTTTTTGAGGAATGGCTGGTCCCCAGTATTGTCCTTGACTTAATGTCCTAAGACTCAGGTAGTCAGCAAGTTTCTGCTTACTGTAAT